AAAAATCAAAACTTAAAAATTCACCCATATCCTGCCACCCTAAAAAAAGCTGCTTTCATTTCTCCACATTTCCTTCTGGTTTTGCCCACATGCAAACATAATTTTATAATGTTGTAATAGCTTGAAATAGGTACAATTTCATATTTTAATTTTTTCACTTAATATGATCCCATAAACATTTTTCCTAAGAGGTTCCCATATGTGTTTCTTGTGGATTAAAAAGGCCAACAAAGTGCTGGGTTTTGCAGAGAAACATTTCAGAAACAAAAATCAAAAATCCTGCTTTGGTACAGTTTGGTGCTCCTATAGCTAGTGTTGTGTTTATTGTAAACTCTGTGTACAATGACTCTCTGTGGAGGTGACTTTGAACTGGGACCTGAATGATAAGAGCTGGCCATGTGCGCCATCTGGGGAAGGGCGCTCCAGGAAGACAGAACAGCATGTGGAAAAGAGGGGAAAGCATGCGTTAGGAGGCAACAGGAAAGCGCATTAAGAAGGGTTGCTGGCAGATTCATTTCAACTGGCAATTAAATATAAATTTATTTTACCTTAAAAAAATTTTAAATTACCTTTTAATTTAAACTACAGAAGAGTGAGTACACCCTGCCTCTGGGATTCTCTACCGAGGAAGAAGCCATATGGAATAATTTAGAACACAGTGAACCCTAGTAGATGCAGTGGTTCTTAAAGGTTCTGGGTCTGACTGCGCACAACTACATGGAACCCGATTTGTTCCTTTACCCCAGTTCCTCGCAGGGGACTGAGTCCAGCCTCTTAATTTTATAGAGAAGGCTGAGGGTTTAAAGACAGAAAGCGACCCGTGCAAGTCTGCAGCTACTTTATTTTTAACCCTCACCGAGTTTTCCCATTGCTTTTCAGAGAGTGGAGAGGGGGAGAGGGAGAGATTGGTTGCCTCCTGCACGTACCCCGACTGGGCGGGCGTGGGAGCCGAGTGTGGAATCCAATCCGGGCCTCTTCGGGCCGAGGGCTGACGCTCTAACCGCTGAGCCACCGGGTCGGGCTCTGCCGCTGCTTCATAGGGGGTTTAGCTAGGGTTCAGTTAGCTCTGCCCTGCGCATCAAAGACCCTATAAGAAACAAAACCGGGCTCGGTGCGCACGACTCCATCTTGGAGAAAGCCCTTTGTTAGCTGGGAATGCCCCACCCTCCCGGGCTCACCCGCCCACATTTGCATAGTCATTTACTCAAAAGCAGTAATAAACGAGAAAGCCGCCAACGCCGACTCCCGGCGGGGAAGGCGGGGAGCGGTTCGCGCTTCCTCCCGGAGCCAGCAGGGGGGGCACCAGGCCAGGTTTGCGAGCCGCGCCTCCCCGCGCCTCCTCCCCCTTCCGCGCCCAACTTCACCGCTTCAACTCAAAGTGGTCATTGACCTTTCAAGCTTTTAAGCAGTGATGCAATACAATGGTATTTCAAAGAAAAATGGTTATCGAAATTTTGGATCCGGTTTTCCCGTGAATGTTAATGGTTTTGAAAAGTAGGTCACATTTTGGGGGCGGGCGTGCTGGCGAGGAGATGAGTTCCAACTGAGGCCAGGTGACCTCCAACCGAGTGGGAGGAGGTGAAGGGTCCCGGAGCGGGGAAGAAGGGACGGGATCTTCCCGAATTCCCGGTCCCAGGGCGCCAGCCCCGCAGGAAATCGCAGAGACACGCGCTCTCCAGACCGCAGGCACCGAGACCCATCGCCCAGCACCACCCAGGCGCCCGGGTCGGAGGGTCCCGTGGGCGGTCTGCTCAGGTGAGCGGAGGCTGCCAGGCAGCGGGAAAGAGACCGTGGAGCGGAGGGGAGGGGAGGAGCCGGGCGAGCCGGTGCCGCGAACCGCGAGTAGCACGGCGGGTGGGAGGGAACTGAGAGCGGCCAGCACCGCCCCGGGAGGCGCTCTCCGGCCGCTGGCTGCCTTCTAGGACCGGATCCGAGGGCACCGCCTCCGGCCCGCTCCCTCCGGCTGGCGGGCGTGGGCACCCCGGGTAGGGCTGGAAGGGGCCCTCCCCCGCTCTATTCAAGCGTCTGCGAGCGGGAGGGGCCTTTTCGAGGACCTCGGGTCTCTCTCGGGCGCCGCTCCCAAAATGTGCGGCCTGGAGTGTCGCGTGAAGGGGCGGAGGGGATGGGAAAGAGGAGCCCCCGCCGTGGGCCGAGGATGTCGGTTATTCGCTCGACCCCGGCGCACCCCTGGCGCGGCTAGGGGACAGGCTTAGGTCGCGAAATGGGGACGATGGTGGCCCGGGTGTTTTCCTGCGCGTCTCCGAACAATCGGGAGTGTGGGGGTCAGAGGAGGGCGGGTTCCCAGGCAGCCACCCCGCCCGGCCCGGCCCCCGGGAGCTCAGAGCCCGCCTCCCATGAAGCCTGCGCAGTAGCGCTCCAGCCTTTTTAAAGCAGTAGCCTGGGCCGCGGTCACGTGGGGCGAATTCCTGGAAAGTTCCTGGAAAGCGGCCTCCGCTGCAGTCGGGCGGGGCGCTCTCGGAGCGCGGACCTGGGGGGAGGCGGGGAGCTTGGGAGGCGCGTCGGGCTGGGAAGTCGCTCGCACACTTCGCT